GCTCAGGACCCTTAGACCACCAAAACTGACCAATAATACTTTCAACCTCATTGCAGATCTCAACGAGGAGCCTAAAGACTCTCATTGAGTATGTAGGCGTAGCTTGGCAAACTGCCTTAATCAAAACTTGCTTCCCAACTTCCAAGAGTAACCGACCCTCTCATCTAGTGATCTTCTTCTAGATACGATCTTTAAGAATGCGAAATAACCGTTTTTTTATTTTTTTTCCAGCAACTGTAGGAAGTCCCAAATATTTTTAAATGAATGGGACATTAGGAACACCCAACATGGCTTGAATTTAGGCTTGTGTAGCCGACGGTGTAGAAGGACTAAAATATAGGGTTAATTTTTCCAAATTAACTTGTTGATCGGAAGCCTCCTCATAGATATGGAATATCCGCTTGATCTCAGTAACTTGACGGGGTTCAACATCATAAAATAGTAAAATATCATCCGCAAAAAAAACAAATGATTTAAAAAAGGTGTTGAAGCAGCAATGGAAACTCCCTTGATTTTAGAATTTAACTCAGCTTGCTGTAAAAGAGTACAAAATCCTTCAGCTATAATAAGAAAAAGATAAGATGAAATGGGATCCCCTTGGCATAAACCTCTGGACAGGATGATCTTACCATAAGGGCGCCCTTGGAGTAACAGTGAGTAAGAGGCTGTGGTAATACAACCTATAATCAAATTGACAAAACGAGCAGGAAACTCCATAATACGCATTATGCGGTCTAGAAAGGGCTATTCAACCTGATCATAAGCTTTTGTCATGTCCAGTTTCAACATAAGCTTGTGCCTTCTTGCTTTTCCCCTCCTTTTTCAAACAATGAATAGTTTCAAACACTTGCTAACACATTATCCAATATCATACGATCAGGAAGAAAAGCACTTTGGAATTTCAAAATCACATGAGGCAGAGCCTTTTTGAGTCTGTTAGCCACATCTTGGAAATAATTTTGTGGAGCACATTACAGAGACTAATAGGACGATATTCAATGACTCGGGTTGGTGACGTAACCTTTAGAATAAGAGTAATTAATGTGTAGTTAAAACTTACGACACTATCACAACCATTGAGAACATTCAGAAGCTGACAGACATCACCTCCCACAACATCCCAATACTTCTGGTAAAATAAGGCAAGCATCCCATCTAGACCCGGAGATTTAGTTGGAGCCATAGATTGTAAGGCAGCCTCAACTTCATCCCTTGTAAAATCCAAGTTTAGTACATGTTGCTTCATCTGAGGGACACGTTTTTTCATAGCATCAAAAATTTCAGTCTTCTTAGAACCACGATTAGAAGAAAAAAGCCGGTGATAGAAATCTAGAAAAATGCCGCCCACCTTCTGATAATTGTACTACAAGCAATTTTAGGCATCTACTATACCATGCATAGAATTCGTCTTAGCCCTGTGATTCGCAACTTTGTGGAAATAAGAAGTATTTCGGTCCCTATATTGAAGCCAACTTACCCTAGACCATTCTCGCCAGCAAATTTCATCAATTTCCAGTAATTTATCTAACTCACATTCCAATAATTTTTTGTTGTGAAAATTAGCATTAGTCGGTGAAGCAGCTTGAAAGGAACCAATCTCTTGGAGTAGCACTTTAACTTTACATTTGAGATCACCAAATTTCATCTGTTTTCAGGATGAGAGTTGCCGAGTGCAGCAGGCGATAGGAGTAGTCAAAGGTGACCAAGAATTTTTAATTACCACACCACATTCCTCATCCTTAGACCAGAGCTCTTCAAAGTGAAAACGGCGTCGCCCCCTAGGGGTTCGACCAACCTGGGAGTCTTGAGTATCTGTGATAATAAGAAGAGGGTGATGATCAGAAGAAAACACCACTAAATGAAAATTTGTAAAGTTACCCCACTAAGACAGAAGCTGCAGATTTCCAAAACCCAGATCAAGGCGCGCTTGCGCATTGTTTCATTCTTCCTATTATTCGTCCACATAAAAGGGTGGCCCATAAAGTCAAAAGATAATAACTCGCAATCCAAAACAGAACATTTGAAATCCTCAATCTGTGATTCAGAACGAGGTCTGCTACCATTCTTCTCATCAACCGACAAAACTTCATTAAAGTCACCACAACACAACCACGGAGCCGTAGTGATACAACTTAGACACCGGAGTAATTCCCATGAGTGTCGGCACTAACCGGGGTCAAGATAACTGTAGAAACGAGTCACTCTAGTAACCTGAGAGGTAGGAAAAGTGATCCATACATCAATGTGCTCGATAGAAGAGGAAATCAATTGAACACTTAAAACCTTGTTTCCAAAGCATACAAAAACCACTAAATAAACCATCAAAAGGTACACACACAACCCCACCACTACCCAATCTCGTGACAAATCCTCTCATCTGAACCGTAGTCATAAGGGTTTCTGCAAGAAAGATCAAGTTTGGCCTCTTATCTTGAAGAAAATTCTTTAGGTCACGGAACGTTCATTGGTTGCCAACCTCACAAACGTTCAAACTAAATACTAACATTGAGACTTGGGAGACCCCTCAAGGCTGGTCTCCTCCGCCTGTCCAGTAGAACCATCAATACACAACCGACGCTTGCCACCACCTTGCTCGGCACTGACAATGATCGGCGAAACTAGTGAGTGACCAAGTTTATCACAAGCAAAACAATACTCCGGAAGGTATTTGTACTTGAACTCTATCAATCTCTTTCCAGTTTCGGGAAAAGTTCAATCTCTTTCCAGTTTTGGGAAAAGTAACCTGTGTTCGACCTATTAAAGGAAAGTCAACATCAAAACGAACCAGGATACGAATAAAATGACCCACACAATCATCCCCATCTCAATTGTCCAACCTCACCTAAAGTGGCCCCAACAGCTTGAGTAACAACTACTGTCATACAAAAACCCAAAATACTATGCAATTGAACCCAAAATACTGTGCAATTGAACCCAAAATATCCCATAATGTAATGGCACCGTGTGGATAGGGCCATTATATGGGGTCTCCACCAGCAGGACGAGGGATCTCCGACAGGCCCATGGTTCCACGTCAAGAACTCGGCGGCGATCATGATCGCATACAGACGGAACCCAAAATTGATTATGTGTCATTTCCTTAATCGAGACATCTCCTTACCTTTCCATAGGCCGGAGAAATTCTTGATAAAAGCATCACGATTGACCACCTGTGGCCTTAGCATTTTTGCAACAAGGCCATAAATAAAACCCACAAAAAGATCGGATACTGTAAAAGCCCCTGTCACCACC